AATATTGAGTATTGCTGACTTGAGCGTCGGAGTGTTTTCCCCGAGGAAACAACCTCGGGATTTTCAGGTGTAGAAGCAGCTGAAGACTCCAACAGCGTTGGGTTGTGAACCTGCCGAAACAGACTAGATTGGGGTTCGTGGGTTTGGAGAGAAGAGAAGATCAAATCTGGGTTTTGGTCTTGTTGGGATGGTGGGATTGAAGAGATTCATGATCTGGGTATGCGGTTATCTTTCTAACTTTTTAGTGTTGATTCTTCTCTTTGGTTTTAAAAATGTAATTTTAATTTATACTAAGTTATAGATATTTCAATTTGTTTAATTTGTCATATCCACATTTAATTTGTTAACTGGTAGACATTTTAATTTTTATGTCAACAATAATAATTAAAAATTATATACTTAACAAAAAAAAATATTGCCACACACATAACTTAATTGATGGAGGAAAAAAAAAGGATAAAAAAATAAACTTTAAGAATTGCAAAAGGGATTTTTAAAATTGAGAGACTAAAAAGAGGTTTTTAATAAAAAAAAAAAAAAAGAAGAAGAGGTTTTTAATCAAAGTATAGGACCAAATTTGCGTTTTAAGTTTTGACCTCGAGAGAATTGGAATTTGAAGAATGAGGAAAATCTTAATGACACCTTGAACCTTTATCACATGAACAAATTGGTCCTTCGTGCTTATATTTAATTTTGATCCGATGGTTTTTGAGCCATTGATTGGGTTGGTTTCGTGTTTGAACAAAGGTTTCACTTTGCTATTTATAGTATATTTGGTTTGAAATGAGGGATGAAAATTCTTCTCTTTGCTTAGCAAAAAATTTAGAGGGGAGAGAGGGAAGAGGAGCAAAATCTTTTACTTCATTTTTAGATTTAATTCTTTCAAATTAGCAGTGGGGAGGGGGGGAGAAAATAGAGAGAAATAGAAAGATTTCGTATTCAAAAATTTTATATTAATAAAATTTAATATCAAATATAAATTAATTGATGCAAAACTAATTTAGTTACAAGTAATATTCTTATGAAAATCCAAAAAAAAAAAAAAAACTGAAAGATGAGTAAGGCTGACATTAATACTCCAATTAAAATATAACAGAGGAAATTTTATAAAAATGACTTTAATGTACCGACTCCATAACTGCGTAATAAGCGATCATTACCGGAAGGGACACTATGGTTCCAAAGATTACCCTGCAAAAATTTTATAAACTGTCAGTCTCTAATTAAACAATCCAAACATTTTTCTTCTTAAATATATATTTAAAAAAAAAATTCTTATTTGTCTTCAAATGATGAAGTTCACTAACTTACGCAGAACTCAAGACATCTGCATGTAATCCATATTCTTTGGCGAAGATGAAGGTTGCAATAGATTGTGGCAATGCTGCCTGAAATTAAAGCTAACATTTTTGTCTCGTTAACATCATTAAATGTATGAACATATATATATGTGTGTGAATGTATACAAATTAAAAACTATTTAAGTACAAATAATTTTAATTGATAAAGTACATTATGCTTAAATTTGTCTTAATTACCCTCTGTATATGAGCGGAACAATATGCTATTTACATTTATACTTGTGACTAGTCGAGTTAAAGATTTAAATACAAAATGTTTTTATCCAATAGTAGATTGGAAAACAAGTTGTACTCACCTGAATGATGGCGACGTGGAAAACGTCGCGGTGCAGACCCACAGCAACGGCGCCAATAGCGGTGGACGCGGGTCCTGCAATGAACCTCAAAACCATCCCAAAAATAGTCAGGCTTGTACCGCAGGCTATCAACTTTTCCTGCAAAGCCATGAAGATCCCTGCA